GAGATAACACATGTAAAGTGTCTATCACAGTATCTAAAAACAGTATATGATCAATAAATTGAAACTACTATCATAAATTGGAAGACAGTTGGTCTAGATGACTTAAAGGATTAAGTGACATCCCTGTTCTCAGAGTCTAGAATTCTAAGTTCTACTTTTATAGGCTAACAGTACTGAAAAGAATTTACAACCACAAAAAAGCGTTGAGTACTTACCATGTGCAAAGTACTGTTTCAAGGAAAACTATCAATAAATAATGAGGAACAGGTATTCAATAATCTACCATACACACTTGTATAACTGTTTCTAAACTTATATCAATGAAAACTACTTAAAAGTTCCTACTAAAAGCAAGCAACAGCTGATGACAGTCTCCTCCCAAATGGTAATTCTGAATTAGAATGAATATAACATGTAAACATAATGCCTTTGTAGGAAGACACTATAAGGTTCTAGGCAGGAAACAGAAAGGGCAGATCAGAGAGAAATAATCCCAGAATGGTGACTGCCATCCTAGCTCAAGGAAGCTGCAAGAAGGGCCGAAGGGTTAAGAAGGTCTGGTTAAAGCTTAAGGACTGTTGGATGGCAGATGGAGACCTCCAAACACCCTTTTCAGTAACCTGAGAGGCAGGAAAGGGGGGTCCACCCTGGACTTGGGAAAGGGGATGGAAATAGCTGGACCAACAAGAGGAATGGACTGTAAAGCAGAGGTCAACACAGTTCTGATGGTGCACCCTTATTAGCCCAAGTGTTTTGACCCTCTCGCAGGCTCGAACATATTACTTATATATTATCTCATGTATTACACATTAAGTGTATTATAAAACCTTCACAGAGTATGGACATTAAAAAGGATGAGATCTATGGAGACAGAAGTTGTTGTAACATTTTATTCTTCACCTGAATTGGTCTTCTTGTGCATTCCACTTTGGAGACCACAGGTAGAGAATAAGTACACTTGTGGAGAGAGGAGGGTATGGAGTTTGTCCCTCCCTGCATAGAATCTCAAAGGCAAAACCAGCCTCAACAAGTCTCCCTGAGCTTTTCTTCAAAAGAGAACTCTTTCCCCACATCAGTCAGTGAGCAGGAATAGTGCCAGCCAAGAACTCAGTCTCCCAGTACTCTCTCTCCAGATTTCAGCCCTCCACCTGGCCTTTGGATTATACTTTTCCCTGAAGATGCCACTGCCAGAAGTTTCCACCATTAGGTGGAAGCTCAGACCTTATAATCTGGATAGTAGCCTTATCTGACCTGGAAGAGTCTGGATGATAACATCATGGCTGTTTTCAATTAGGGGGAGGGGAAGCACTGTGTGTTTACACTGTATATTCTGAGGACACAGACTGAATCTTATAGACTTCTTTTTATACAGTGTTAGGTGCAGTTAAAAACGGGGTCCACAGCAGGTTTCATTTGTTTGGCTGGTTGGCTGGTTTTGGCTAAAAATGAAATTAGGAAAAAAAGTTTTTCCTTTGAAAACAGGTGTATTTTTAGCAAATATCATAGCACATCATTTTTTCTACAGACTTTACAAATAGCTCACTGTCCCTATTAAAGAGTATCAAATGCTGCAGAATTCTTATGCTTCACCTTATTAATGGAGAGAGAAACACAAATAAACCTATGGTTGGTCTGTAAGAGCATTACCAAAGCAAACCCTATGGGGAAAAGCACTTGTCCAGCTCACTACTATTTCTACATGTGACTACATTTTGCAGCCAAGACCCCTCAGCACCCAAATAAATGGGCAGAGCCCCCACAGAACTGCAAAACCCACATTTGTGGTCTTGGTTTGACAAGGGAGAATGAGCTGGTTTCTGCCTCTAAATGCCAGCACTGGCTCTCCAGTGTAACACCTGGTGATTCTGCTGCTTGAGTCCTGGTCACCTTAGAGATGCTCTATCTCCCAGTGCGCCTTCAACAAACAGCAGCCAGCCCGCTGCTTCCATCTGTTTAGCCAAGCCCAGGGGATATGAGCATGCTTCTTACTAACAAGAGGCAGTTAATTTCCTGGAGTTAGAATAAACTACAAATCCAGCCTGTGAAGAGTTTGCAAAACAAATTTTTATGTCTCAGAAAACTTAAGGAAAATTAATTCTATAGATTGGTAATAACTAAGGAAAACTCGTATTTCTGGGTCTGTTTTTTTAGTAAGTTGGTCAGTATTGCGGTTTCCTTAGCTCTTTTTTGGGGGGTTTGTTGAGATACAGCAAGGACAGCTATCCAGCCTGGCGCCAGAGAGCTTTCATGAACACCACCCCACGGCTTCAGTTGTGCCTCATGTTGGGTGGAAAATGGATGAGAAAGGAGAAAAGCAGAAATCACAAAGACATTCTGACTTATAAGAATGTTACAACAGATGTTTTTTCCTTTATAAAATACTGAATGTTTCTAAGGACGCCATATTTTATTATGGCCAATCTCACCACTCTAAGTCATAAAGATAAATGTTATTTTTTTCTACCAAGAGTTTTTGCAAGTTCACTTATAGTCAATTCCATTGTTTTACTTGACGTGAACTTTTATTTTCCCTGAATAAGTGAGCTGATTATGCAACTAAGAGGTTGGTAAATATGGGACTTGTTATAGAATCAACATTTTTTACAGGCTAAAGCCCAGGTTGTTTATGGAGCAACAAAGAGAATATGAACATCTTTTTTCTTGTCTGCCCTGGATTCAGATTTATCTTTCCTAGAATTGATTTATAAATGCCTGAATCTTAATCTCTTTTACAAATTAACAAGAGTCCTTAGTCAAGATGTTAAAGGAAATTAGATTTTGCTTTAAAACAACAAGGCTATAGACAGAGGAAAATCAGAAAATACTAAGACAAAATACTATTCAAAGAACTACAGCAAAATCTTATTTATTTAATTTAAAATTCATTAATCAGGAATTTGTGATAGTTCACAATAGCACAAGACCAAAGTGTACCTTTGGCCTAATTGTGTAATTGTTTGCTAAGTCACTTACCAGTGGAAAACATTTTTTGGAGAGAAGGCCGAAAACCCGAGAGACAGTTTCTAATACCTGCAAGTAATTGTAGACATTTACAACACTGAATGATTTCTTAGTCACAAATAATTCTTATCTCTGACTTAAGTCTCCTCCAGCCACTACTAAGTAAATCTTCCTTGACCTACTTACAGGATTTGCTGTACTGATGAAGGTATTTTGAAAGCCTTTCCTCAAGTTAGACCGGCCTTCCCTACTAGCTTCCTTTGAGCAAAGCACGTCGTTGGATGTTTTGGTTTAAGTACAATGAGACCTAGAAGCAGCTTGCCTGGGTTCAAATCCCCCTCCCACCAATTAGGCATGTTATTTATGGTCGTCTGCAAAATGTAAAAAATAATACCTGAAGGATCTTAAAATTGTAATGCCCTTAGAACAATGCTTGGTCCCTTAAAAGTTAGCTCTTGTTGCCAAGACACGGTACTGCAGGTCACGAATAAAAGTCTGACCACGGGGCATCACTGAAAGAAACTTCCGTGAAACGGTAACACTTTAGAGCAGGCAAGTTTTTTAGCCCCTCTTTTACAAGGTTCAAGGGCATATTTTCCTGTGGCAGTGCATCACAACCGTTTTCGGTTCTCCCGTTTTCCTTTCTTCTGGCTTCCGGCAACCCAACATAGACTGCCAGGTACTCCTGGTTAACTACGAAAAGACTTTCTCCAAACCAGCCCCGCCCAGTCGTTACGAATTCTTCTCCATCCTCTTTCCAGTTGGAGCTAGCTAGAATGCGCCTCCTCGCTTAAGTCCTCCCTCAACACCACCCTTCACTTTGATAAGCCCTTGACTCGGGCACAGCTCTGCCTGGGAACCCCTTAATAAGTTCCTTAGAACACTAGAGGCTTTCTGAATCACCTGATTTTCATCTGAAATTTTTCATTAAATCGTGGGCTTTAAGTAGCCCGCCCTGAGTTGTTGGGCTTTGGGCTCCAAATAAGACCCAAGAGCAGGATGGGTGGGTGAGCTGCGGCTTGCAAGGGCTGGTGCGCACGACTGGAGGCCAATTTAGGGACGGTTCCTTTAGGCAGGACTTGGACGAGGGAGAAGGGAGGTTAATGACGCACCTGAGTAAGTCGCTAGACTACAGGAGATAAATGATATGGTGGCCACAGAGAGAACCGCCTGCGCGGGCGCACGCGGGCGCGAACCCGCACACACACGGCAGCAGTCCCAGGTATCTGACAATGACACTGTCCTGACCCAGACACTGTCTCAAAGCCCCCAGATTGCCGGAGCGTGCTCTTCCCCACCTCCTCGGAAGACTGCAAGTAGCGCACCTCTGGGCCCTGCGGGCTCCGCCGAGCCAGGCGTCCTCTCCTCCCCCGGCGGCCGCGGCTCCCCGCCCCCCACGAACGCTTTTCCAGTGTCCAATGGAACGGCCACGTGGCTGTCGGGTTTCGAACCCCGGGGCCGACCCTCGCCCTCGGCCGCGGAGCCGAGTCACTGGCGCAGCCTTTGGCCCCCGCATCAATCATTTACGGTTTGCTGCGGCCGGAGGGAGGGGGATGGTACGGAACCGGAGACAGGGCACAACTCTACCCGCCGAGGCGGCCGCGAAACACTAGCCGGGAGGCCCCCCGCCCTCCTCCGGTGCGCTCGTCCCTCCCGCCTCGCAGCGCCTCCGCTGCCACATCCCCGCCTCCCGCGCCGGGGGCGGCAGCGGCGGCGCCCGCACCGCGCGATGCCCAGTCACCGCAGCAGCGCCGCCGCCGCAGTCCGCCGCGCTACCGCCGCTGCCGCAGCGCGGGCGGCCGCGAGCCGGTAGCAGGCGCCTGGCGAAGGGGCCGCCAAGCCCCGCAGGCCCCTGCCAGTCGCTGCAGGGCTTTAAATTATTTTTTATCCAATTATTTAATTTTGTTTCAGGACCGGCTGCTCAGAGGCCCGGGTCTTCTCTTGAATCTGCAGCGACGCCCCCGGCGCGTGCACAAAGGCTCCGACGGCGGCCGGCGGGGACTGCCGAGCGCGCGGGAGCCGGCGCCAGAGGTCGCCGGTGCGCGCCCTAGCCAAGCCCCAGGAACTATGCCGCGGCGCCTGCAGCCTCGGGGCGCGGGCACAAAGGGCCCGCCTGCCACGACCGCTTCGGAGGTCGCCTCGCGCTCCCACCCCCCCGCCTCCGGGGACCCACCAGTGTCGGTCAAGCCGCTGCTGCGCTGGGACGAGGTGCCCGACGACTTCGTGGAGTGCTTCATCCTGTCGGGCTACCGGCGGCTGCCCTGCACCGCGCAGGAGTGCCTAGCCTCGGTGCTGAAGCCTACGAACGAGACGCTCAACTTCTGGACACACTTCATCCCGCTGCTGCTGTTCCTGAGCAAGTTCTGCCGCCTGTTCTTTATGAGCGGCCACGACGTGCCCTTCCACCACCCGTGGCTGCTGCCGCTGTGGTGCTATGCATCGGGCGTGCTGCTGACCTTCGCCATGAGCTGCACGGCGCACGTGTTCAGCTGCCTATCTCTGCGCCTGCGGGCCGCCTTCTTTTACCTGGACTACGCCTCCATCAGCTACTACGGCTTCGGCAGCACGGTGGCCTACTATTACTACCTGCTGCCGGGCCTGAGTTTGTTGGACGCCAGAGTGATGACCCCGTACGTGCAGCAGCGCCTGGGCTGGCACGTGGACTGCACACGCCTCATTGCCGCCTACCAGGCGCTGGTGCTGCCCGTGGCCTTCGTGCTGGCCGTGGCCTGCACTGTGGCCTGCTGCAAGAGCCGCACTGACTGGTGCTCTTACCCATTCGCGCTGCGCACCTTTGTGTTTGTCATGCCGCTCAGCATGGCCTGCCCAATCATGCTCGAGAGCTGGCTCTTTGACCTGCGCGGGGAGAACCCCACGCTCTTTGTGCACTTTTACCGCCGCTATTTCTGGCTGGTGGTGGCTGCCTTCTTCAATGTGAGCAAGATCCCCGAGCGCATCCAGCCAGGCCTCTTCGACATCATCGGCCACAGCCACCAGCTCTTCCACATCTTCACGTTCCTCAGCATCTACGACCAGGTGTACTACGTGGAAGAGGGCCTGCGCCAGTTCCTCGAGGCGCCACCGGCCGCGCCCACCATCTCAGGCACCGTGGGCTACATGCTGCTGCTGCTGGTCTGCCTGGCGCTGGTCATCAAGAGGTTTCTGAGCAGCTCCGAATTCTGTAGTAAGAAGTGAGCCTCACCCTAGCCGGGGCTGTTGGTTCGCCCACACCTGTTTACTGGGTTTCTGTTGCTGCTGTTGGTTTGTCTTCAAGTTTTGCTGTGTTTCCTCGAGGAAGGTGCTGCAAAACCACAGGGAAAAAGTGCAGTGGGGCGTGGGGGTCTCAGTCCACCTGGAGCTCCAGAAGAGGGAGGTGGGTCAGGCAGGAGGGAGAGGGCCACTAGTTTTCGCCCCTGGGAAATATTTCGGTGGTGTCTGTGACATCCGGGGATTTTTTCAAAGGCGGAGAATAAAATCCCAAATAAAACCCCGAACAGTTCTATTTTCCAATCATCTTCGGTGCCAGCGGTAACAAAAGTAGCCCTTGTGAGGTCAGGTATGCAGTAAAGAGGGTAAGTAGACAAAATCCCTGGGTACTTCCATTTCAGTCTGAGGAATGCTTGCCATTTGTCAAAAGAATTGAGCTTTGTAGGAAACGGGCACAAAGACACAAACCCAGGGCTTAATCTGCTAGAAAATGCATGGAATGTGAACACAAGTTAATTACTTCAAAATGTTTCTCAGATGTTATTTAAATAATAATATATACAATGGTTTTTCATAATTTATCAAAGCCTGCGATATGCTCTGAATTTTGTCAAGTAGTTTTGAATTTTGCAGCCCTTCTGTATTGCATACACTTGAACTGGACATCAGGGCAAGCTGCTTGAAAGTTCTCAACTACTTTTTTATACAGTGTTTTCTGAAGGCCTATGTATGTCACGATACAACTGTGAATTAGTCTACCTTAGGGACTCTAGGTAAAACTACTGGTGAGAAGCTCAGTGCTTTGCAAAGATCCCAGATTCCTATTTACTTTACTGTATTCCACCAAACCCAGCCTATTTTTTGTTTGTTTTGTTTTTAATCTGAATTTTTTTCCTTTCTACTTTTTAAGTTGCCACTGGAATAAATGTGCCTTTTGAATCAATGCCCAAATGACTGGTCCTCAAACATAGTTTATTGGATGGGGACAGCAGGAAGAGTAAGCTGCAAATCAAGGCTTAACATTGCACCAGGACAGAAGGAGGAGGGTGTTGGTTGTAAGTTTTTGGTAGCACTGTAACTCGCCAGGCCATGCAGAGTGTCTGGCTTCTCTACAAAGAGAAGGAGCCAACCAATGATGTAGCTGTGCTTCCTAATGCAGCCGTTAGGGAAGGTGAGAGGACAGTTTCTAGCCTGATGCCATCTGTCCTTGCTTAAAGTTTAAAACACAAAATTCAGTAATGAATGAGGCAGTTTTGAAAGTCAGGAGCATATTCCTTGAGTTGAAACTGAAAGTTTTGAGTTAAGTAAGATTCTCTTTGCCTATGGAAATGAGTGGCAGTCACCCTAAATTGTCCAAAAATTAGTGAACATGCTCCTGAGATACTTCCTAACAACCATATTGATTAGCCAGTGTTATTTAAGACGTTTCTTAAAAATGCTAACCTGTATTTGAGATGGCCACCCTAGAGGAACACAAACCACTGATGTGGCTTATTTAAATATGTATCACACTTCCTGACAAGTCCTTTTGGTTAAGAGCCAAATAAGCCATTGAATGGGGAGTCTTGACTTCATGGTACAATTTATATCAAGCACATAAGGTAGATGAACACTTACCTCAGCACTGGTAGGCTGAAGCTCTTAAAAAGATTGCTGTTTTTGTATATGCTTTTAATCACTACTGTATTTGTAAACAGAGTCTCCGCACGATTCCCTAGAGGAGCCAGTCTCCTTGTGTGTTAACCTGCACACAGAAGTTAACTTTATATATGTCCATATTTCATTTAGAACCTCTTAGTGGGACTGTAGATATGCTTGGCATATTTGCTGATCAGTATCAGTGTCTCATCTTTTGCAAAGTGTGAGGAGATCCCTGTTCGGTTACAGAGGCTGACCACAGATGTTATTTCTCACTGTAACTTAATTCAGTACATGTATTCAAGGATGACTGTGGAAACCAGGGTATTTCCACCTGCAAACTTATTTGCATGTCATTGTTGTCTCTTTTAGAGCCCCAAAGAATGTTGATTTAGAAGCTAGAGAAACAGAACAAGGAGTATTTTGTCCCTTCCTTGTAAAATGGGGCCTCCCCTTTCAGAAAGAACTTTCAGGAGACAGACTTCTGAAAAGAATCAATGAGTTTAAGGACAAGAAATAAGCCTCATATTTTTCATTTTCAATTTTTTGTTTTCAATCTTCGGGGTCTACAAACAGACTTCTCTTTTGCCCTGTCTTTGTCCTTAAGCAGAGGCCACTTAAGGATAAAATTATACCCATATCATTTTCAAGTGATTATGACGCATGAGCCCCGTAAGATGACACACTTTTCCCTTAAAAGGTTTCAGCACCCAGTATGTGCCAGAGAGAATGACTCACTTTCCTTCCCCTGCCTTTCCCTTCCTCCACTTTCCCTTCCCCATTGCATCTGAGATTTTATATGCCACATATAACATTGACAAAAAGGAATTCTAGTTGACAACAATGGCTTGGTTTCACTCCATGCTTGCAAATGGGTACCATATACACTAACTATGACCAGGGATGATTTGTTAAACTCTGTATGTTATTTGCTAATTTATATCAGATTTCTGTCAAGATAAACGATGACAAATTTAAGAATCAGGAAATATTTACCGAGTCTCCATTTGCATGGAACTATCCAGGTGTATTACATATTTCAAGGGTAATATGGCAATCACAATAAAATATCTTTAGGAATATTTTTTCACACTCCATTTTGCCACATCCATTACAATTCAGTTTTCTTTATTGTATTCGGCTGTTTGAAACGTAGGACAAATGACAGGCAAGAATGCACTCCATTATCTCCGTAAAACCTATTTGGCAGTATAATTTTTAAGCATATTATGTAATGCGGTTTATTTTTACTTGTTAGTCATGATCTAGATGACATCTCAAGGAGCAGCATCATAGAGTCATGCCTGGAAAAGCAGGGTGTTTAAACGACTTCAGTGTCTGTCACCCAGTGGGTTGGTCTCTGAGGTTGAGTAAGGCTGATTTCGTTGGCTAAAAGCCCTTTCTTCCCTGTCCTTCAGCTACACCCTCAGGTGAAGAGGATGACCTTCCTCCCAGAGAAAGGAAGTGAGTTCTTTGGTCATGTCATGACTGGCTAATAAAAATAAACGTGATCTTTTCCAGTGGCCATACACTTTCTATAAATAGCCCAGGAAGAAAGTGTGGGCTTCAGAGCTGGCCAGAGCAGCCTTCACATGTTTCCATTCATAAATCCTGCCTGTTAAGTGCTTGCAGTCAAAAACCATTTCGCCTAATCCATCATGCAACTGCAGGGGAATAATTCTAAGTTCTCAAAATTTGGGGATGCAGATGATTTTTATAATTTTTTTTTCTGATTTGGTGCTGAATCTGAAAGCTAATAGCAATAATAAACAGGGATTTTCATCTTCAGTTCTCTTCACAATTTCAGTTAATCTGCACCAGGCTATAGTAGGGATCAGGTGCAGTAGGAGTTATCTCCACTTCAAGGTTATACCATAGGTCCCAGGCTCCAGAATTAAGTTTTCAAACTGGCCTTTTGATGTGGGGTGGTTGTGTGCTCAATCATGAGTGTTTAGTATTTTGCAAGCTATGATGCCTGCCAAGTACACACACACTAATTGGAGATAAATAATGTATATCTTTTAATTGCTGCTTTATAATGTAAAAGAGCAAATGAAGATACAGCTATCTTTGAATTTAGATCACAAAATCTTAGACAAAAATTTAGATTATAAAATCTTAAAATGTGATCAGCTACTTAGTTTGTATCATCTTAGCTTGTTCTTCATCTTTGATGTCTAGCACTGCTAATTTCATTCTGTCACTGTCCTTTGAATTGATTTTCCTTCATTCCTTTATGTAATCCTTTTTATGAACATTGAGCACCTACTGCACGTCAGACATTGGGCAAGGCCCCATCCCTACTATACAGCCATTACCCTTTTTTCTGCTTGTGGAACAGAGAGAGAGAGAGAGGAGCACCAGAAAGGACAGGGATCAAACTCGTAAGCAGCCTGTCCCAAGCCACTGAGTTTGTTCTTTTCTCCTTTCTATTAGCATAAAAGCAATGCATAAAATCTTATTTCAATTAACATGCGAATTTACCCACAATCAATTTCTTTCTTTTTTCTTTCTTCTTTTTTCCTGTCTCCTCCTAGGCCTATGTGAATTTTATGGTTAAAAACAACTACGAATTTTAATATACAACCCAGGTGAAGGGATAGCAGGTATATGTACATAGAAAGAGTTCAAAAATTTACCATCACAACTAATTAACAAAGACACTAATAACAATCACTTTTGAAAGCTTAATAGTATTCATATCATTATGAAGGAAAATTCATCCAAAGTGCCTAAACTGTGATCTCTACTATGTGTATGAATGTCATAGAGTAATTAAGTTTTAAAAAATGCAAGTTTAGATTTCCAAAGATTAAGATTAACGTTCTTTAGCCATTTTCCCCTTTTAAGGTCATTGTGTTACATATCTTGGAAAAAAATTAATGTGGAGGAAATTGTAGAAAGTATCAGATGTAAAAAAGACAGAAAGAAGGCCTAAGAAGGGGGGAACAAAGAGGATTAGATTCAAACAGCCAGAATAGAACAGTTTCCCCTGAATTTTGAATTTTATGAACTCTGACAGTGTTAGCACTTAAATGGGCAAACAAGGAATTCTATTTGGCAGCCTAACCACATCCTGTGTAGCTTTTGACCTGAGCGCTAGTGCCAAGGTATATTTTGAGAAGCACACTTACCCCTGGCTTAACATCCTTAATTTGTTTCCGTAAAATTAGGGCATAAGGCAAAAGGCATTAGGGGATAGCACCAGGCAATTGTAAATCACCTCTTGAACCATTTTCTTGAAGGATTGCCAGTAGTCTCTGACATAAGCCTGACAAAAAGCAAACAAGCCTAAACAAACTGAAAAAGGAAGCATCCATTGGTTGAAGCTGAGCACTACTGTATTCTGCATTGTGATAGACCACATGCCTCCCTAATGATTTTATTCCTTCTTCAATATTTTGAATTATTATCTTGTATTATCTCGTGAAAATCGTTGTCAATTTTTTCTTAGTCACTATTCCAAAGAGCTAATACAGATGTTTGTTGTTGTTAAAAAAAAAAAGGGCACATGTATTGCATTTCTGGTTGGCAGATTTCTACCCAGTTTGTAGATTTTTTTGTTTTAGAGCAGCTTCTTAAGAGTCTGTGAGCAAGTTGCAGAGGGTATTTATAGGTCAGAGGCCAAGAATGCTTGTTTGGCTGTTAA